CTCTGAAATAGATCCTAAATAAAGAATACATAAATATTAATATATAAATTTGATTGTCAGCTTGTTCAAATTTGACTGTTAACTTGTTCAAATTTAATTGTCAACTTGTTCGAATTTGACTGTAAGTTTGTTTGAATTTGACTGTAAGTTTGTCCAAATTTGATTGTTAAATTGTTCAAATTTGGTTGTTAACTTGTTCGAATTTGATTGTTATCTTGTTTGAATTTGATTGTTTATGTGTACGAACTTGGTATGCAAAACCTGTAAGAGGAAGAGTGGGAAGGCGGAGGAGGGAAAAGAGAGAGGGGTAATGTAAACCACCAATCAAAATTGGACCGGCTTTATTAATTAGTTTTGAATTGCAATTTCAAGTTAAATTATAATAAGCTGATTCTTTATTTATTATTTAATTATAACAAACATTTTCTATTTAAATATAATAAATTAAAACTATATATATTTCATATATATATTCAAATATTTAATGTAATTAATGATAAATTAATATTTGCTATCTCAATATACATCCAAATTAACGTTACGACCACGCCCGCGACGGCCACGATCACGAGCTCTATCTATTGGTTTTACGGCATTCAGTGGAGTATCATTATTACTAATTGATGGAAGTATAACAGGGTTATTCACAGGAAAATCTTGAGGCGGTTTCACTACTGTTTGGGACTGTTGCATTTGCGCAGCAACCTAAATTATAAAATTATAAAAAAGAGATATATATATATATATTAATATTGTCAATATGAAATTATTAAAATTTAAATTATATGTTTAATAATTCACCTGAATCTTTTCTCTAACAAATTTATAAGCTTCATATGTATTTTTAACCAATAATGATTGTGGAAACATCTCGTCCACTAATGTTTCTTTAATTTCATCAGGCCACAAATTTAAACTCATATCACATAAATAGATAGATAAAGGAACATCTGCTTTAATATTTGTATCAACACACAAGAATCTTTGCATATATCTTTTTAGTGCAGTGACAAATGCTTCGGCCGGAATTTGCGTTTGTTGTTTAGGATTATCTGTAATAACCTGTTCGATGATTAAAGAATCCAAAATTTCCTTTGTCATCATTTCATTAAGTGGTTTTTTAAATTCCTCGTTTATATAACTGATTCCGATATTTGCAACTTGATCTTCAATAAGTTCATATAATGCTACAATGTGTTTTAACCTTAATTCGATGTTGATAATTTTCTGGAAATTCTTTAGTTTTATTGAATTTGATAACTGAATCCATTGATCAATGAAATCTTTAATAAGCATTTCACCACTTTTAGTCGATATCCTCTTAATAAAACATAAAAGGATTTCCAATGATTGAAGTAATTCTTGATTACTTGATTGATCTGTAACTCCAATTAATGAAATTTTGTCGGTAGGAATTGGTTCTTGTGTTATTAATCCTTTGATCTCATTTAAAATTCTTGAACCACCATGTAATAACTCCATATGATAAGAAAATTGTTCCATGTATAATTGATCCTCACTATTTCCTTCTATGAATACTTTTTCTGAAATTAAAAGTTGTGCGAGTTCTTGTTCTATTTTCTGCAAATCATAAATCACTTCTTCACCATGCCTAATTTCAAGGTTATGTTGACTATATCGAAGTAATTTGTTATCCCATTCATAATTAATTATATTAGATTGTTGTAGAGAATTGACTTGTTTGGAAGGAATATGATATGGATTAGAAATAGTTGTTGTTTTGTCTTGGATTGAAGTTGCCCAGGGTACAGCTTTTTGTAAGAATTTAAGAGATAAACAGGCTTCATCCGGAATTGAAATAACATCTTCTAAGAATTGGTTTTGTATATTGACCAAATATTCTATGATTGCGCACAAATAAATTCCAGAATCTTTAGCTTCAATTAATCCGAATACCACCGGATTATTCTTTGTCAATTTATGGGGTTCAAAGTCATGACACTGGTACCTACGAACATTGCCAGCAACCGCATTCCAGGACTTTTCAAATTCATCATATGATGTTTCTAAAGATACAAATGCTTCATTTTTTGATTCAAATTGAATGAATTCATCAATAGTATACTTTATTGCATTTTCCCTGGTTAATTTGTGTGCTAGTTTTGAATGTAAAATTTTGACGAATTTGATAATTGGATAAAAATGTTTTAACTGTGATAAATTCTTTTCGTGTTTGAAATAAATATTTAAAAATGGGAAATCTTTGGAATTTTGTAAAATATTCTTTAAATAATATGCATTAAACCCATCAAAGCTGATTTTTCCAGTAAATCTCCACAACTTAGGAAGGTAATCTTTATTATATTGTGGGCTCATTTCTAATTCTTGAGTAATTTCATCTTCTAATCCATTTTTAACAACTTTTGCTATTTCCATTGCTTTATTCAATTCCGATTTAAAATCAACAGTGGTTTTAGTAATGCTTTGAATTTTTGGTAAAATATATGTCGCGCTAAAGCCCATTTCCCAATCTTCTCTTTCTTCTGATGTTTTAAGCACAGCTTTTTGTTGAGGAAATTGTTCTTTGGCCATAGTGCTTAGTA